TCCTGCTGAGAACTACTGCATAAACAGTTGCCCCACAGCTCAAAAGCTCAGAAGCCAGCTCCATCATTGAAATCGGGGCGCCAGTCATTGAGAGTTCATGAAAGATTAGGACGAATCTCCTTGACCAAACAAGGCGTGCAAAGTCAGATTTCCTGTCACAGGTTCCTGATCGCTTTTGTGGACTCCATTCGAGAACCCTATCCTCTAGTGATCCAAAAGGACCAAAAAGCTTACCATACGTAGCATTTGTCTTTGGAAGCTCTTGATCTTGCTCCTCAAAGTCTTTAGTCTCAACCACTTTTCTAGCCTTCTGCTTACCACGAGTCTTACCACGTGAACTACGCCCAGATTGTCTGGTCTTCTTCTTGGCACTCAAGTTCCGTCGAGATGCCACATCCTCTTTCTTGGCCAGAATAACATCCATCCTCTTATTACCACCAACATGACTATTGTTGGTATCATTTTCTATGGCATGTAAACTCTCACTGGCAACTGAATCCAGATGTTTATTTTGCTCCGAAACAGAAACATCAGCTCTTGGTTTGCCTCCAAAAGCTAAGAACTGCTCTTTATTATCATCATCACCATGTGCCCACCTGGACTGTACATAAAACCCAAGATACGTCCAAAGAGTAATCAAAAGAAGCCAATAAACCAGCCGGCCACCGCGGAACCACTGCACAACTCCTCCACTGCCTCTACCTTCTCTGCGTGGAGTTCTGACAGAATGCACTCTCCGGTATGTCGGTGAACCCCTCGGAGTTGACCTCCCTGACAGCGATGACTTAAAGCTACCTTGTCTTAGTGGTGATAACCGAATATCTTCCATAACTTCCGGGTTATAATCCCATGCTGACCATTTTATTTTGAATTCTTTGACCTCAGATACTGCACTAAACTATTAGCATCTGGACCAATTCTTCCACCTCAGACACAACTTCTCATATCCACAGCAGTCACACCGCAACCTAGATGGAGAGAAATCATGCATCAGTATGAAACACATTGGAAAATCTAGACACATAGTGACGGCTACCTATAGTTTCCCTTCTTATCAAAAGTTCATTAAGAACTATTCTCCCCACATCTGAAACTAAAGAAAACATTAGGAACAATTGGAGAACTATAGCTGGTCAGAGTTCAGATTTGGACATCGGTTTCTCTTCCGACCTACAAGAAACTAAGCTAATTCAAATAAATCTGGAGAAAGATCGGTTATTCTTGGTCCTTAAGATCACGATAACAGAGGTCAATCACAAGTAAGACAGAAACAAACGAGCTTCAGAACAGAAAAACATCTATAACAAATTTTCCAGGAAACAAATTTCACTTTGTTTCCGATTTCCATCGAACTCGGGATTCGAAGCTCAAAAGGTACATTACATGAACTTTACCGACACTGCATCTCGACGACCAAAAAGACTTCATCCATCGCCAAACAACTTCGAAGAACAAAAGTTCACTTCAATTACCTTACGCTTTCCGATTGAACAGACACAAACATCCAAACTAAATAACTTCAGACTTGGATCGCTGATGCTTCGACGGCGCAGCAGAACAAAATGCGACGCGGCTAGATTGACACGAATTCGCTGAAACCTAGTGTGAAAAAACAAGGATCAGAGTAAAATCTAAGATCAATGTCCTTCAGTCAGCCAAAACTACAAGCATAGTCGTCGATATACATAGCAGAAGAACAAGCCAAGCTTGAAGAAAGAACAGAAGCAAAGGAAGACGAAAGAGAAGACGAAAACGAATACATTACTTTGAATTCAGTGTGCTTCCATGATCTGAACTTCCGCCATCGGAAGAGCAGAGAGA